TCCTTCGACCCATTGTAGAAAGTTTCGAAATCCCTTTCCAGCTTCGAATTTCGGACAATAATCAAATCATTTTCTATCAAAAAATGAACAAAATCAACGAAAGTTTCTAATAAATTATTTGGAAAACTCGTCACCTCCATTCTTTTGAAGTCTGTATAGTTTGTTAAAAAATGTGGTTTTTTGTTTTGACTGAATTTTTTTTGCTTTACTTTCCATTCAAAAACGCTCTATTTTGTAGAGTTTCACTTAAAAATACCGGCGCGATCTGAGGTCTTTTACGCGAAAATTTACAAGATAAATCTAAATCTTTGTAGGAATTTTACAAAAACTTTTTTCAGCGTGGAAATCGGGACAAAAGCGAAAATAAATTTCTCCCGTTTTTTGCCGAAAATCATTAATATTTTCTCAAAAATCGATCACAAAACTAAAAGTTTTTAAGCACAAAAGCCAACAATGAGGTTGGGGTAAAACCCAATAGTTTTTAATCGAAAACGCAAAAAAAAACATTATTTTCTGATGATTTTCTTCTTTTCTAACAATGGGGTATTTGGAGCCAAAAATGAGAAAACTGATTCGGCTAGAAAAGTCGCCTCATTCATCGGTTTGCAGGGAACTTTAGGAAACCCTTCTCAGCTTCGAATTTGGCACAAATTGGCCAAATAATTTTATTCAGTTTTTTACCGAAGGTAATTAGGACTATCTTGAGCAATCGACCAGAGAGCAAAAGTTCTGAAAACTAGTATTTCACAAATTCGCCGCCCTAATCGCTCTCAAGATTTTTAGTCGCAAGTCGCATCGACAAAACCCTAATAATTATTTCTGGGTTATTTTCCAAACATATTTCCCGGAACTGAAAAACCGAAAGTTTATAATCATTGATTTGGGAAACTCTTGGAAACTGGAGTTTCTTCACTTTGATGTCAATATTTCTAAACAACGCTGTCTAAACAGAAAAACCGCGTTTTTCGTAACGTTTTACTGTAAAATACCGGCAAACAAAATTTTATGCACCAAAATTAAGAGATCGATTTTACAAGAAAACTTGTCGACTTTCTTTGGACTCGTAGTTCGGTTGCTGGAAAAATATAGGTAACTTTTTTTAGTTGTTTGAACAAAGTAGTAAAACGTTACTCAAAAACAAAAAAATGTTGATAACCGTATTTTTAGATGTGAAAATTAGAGTCTCGGGTCTCGTAAAGCTTTAATAAATAACTGATAACTCATTAACCGATAAGTTATAACTCGTTAACTCAATAGCGCAACTCAACACAGCGTTGTCCAGGCCTAGGCTATGTCATCAATACGGACTGCGCCCGAGGAAGCGCATCAGAGTAGTGTAAGCGTTCAAGCAAACCGCCTCTGAAGATGCAAGCCACTCGTGCTTGCGAAACGTCAGGACAAAATTTCATTTTTCAACGGCTTAAAACCCCGCAAAACCTATTAGTTTCAAGGAATTGCCTCGAAAGTGTATCTCTTTTGACAAAATATATCAGAGTTTTCAAGAACAACAATGAACAATCTTAAAAACGGATCAACAATAACATCCATGAATAATTTTACCACGAAAAGAAACAACAGCTTCGATGGCAAAATGGAGTGAAGAATAATTAATGAGAGCCTCTATAGTCTAGAACTAGCATCTTTTACGTGACAAGAAGTGCGAGGTTCAAAATCGTTACAAAGAGCATCTGCTTAAACGGATCTCTGGTCTAGTGAATGAACGAAAAACTGAAAGAATCTAAAAGCTGGATCGAGTACGCAAGAACAAATATAGGAAAATACAATATTATAAGACACAATTATTCAGATAATCTAGGCGAAACAAGCATGTAAAATATATTTTACTTCGTTTAGGTCGACCAGGCACAGATTATCCAGTCTTAGGAATGGTACCTTATACCAACTTTTACTGTGATGAGCAACAATATCCTGGCTTCTATGCGGACCCGGAAACTCGGTGCCAAAGTTGGCACTATTGCGATATTGATGGTAGGCAGACGAGCTTTTTGTGCCCGAATGGTACCCAGTTTAGTCAGCTGGTGTTCGTGTGCGATTGGTGGTTTAATGTGAGATGCGAATTAAGTGAAAAGTAAGTAAAAACTGTGCTGCGAACGTATTTTCCAATGTTATATTATTAGTTAGTTGAGCCTATTAATAATTGAAACTGATTGCCTGATTGAAGAGAACTGAGGAAGTAGAAAATATATAATTGTTTTTCGATTAATCATCAAGAGAAATCCAATTTTAAATTCGACTTAGTTCCAGTGAAAGCTTTAGTTATTATAAATTGCTGGCAACATTTATGTTGAATGTGAACTAAATATGGAAAAAATATCCTTGAATGTACAGCGATTTTGTATTCAATGTAGAAAGCTCACGCGTCATCATGATCATGATCAAGAGTTGTTGTCGAATCATATCCTGAGCTAAAATATCGAAAAAAAATGATTCCGGTTATTAGATCACGCAAATACGTCATACTATTACACTATGTAAATCATGATGTATAAATCAAAATTTATCGATTCTATACAATTGAATTCCCGCAATAAAAATTCAAGTTGTTAAAGTATTCTTCTAGATTGTGCATTGTTTGATTTTTTACCCCATTCACTGCTAAAACGATTCTAACGAGCGTTAATTTTCTTTTAAGCCTTGACTACATTGTAATGCCTGCTATTTACCATTAATAATAACAGTTATTATTGATAATACAAAAATAATCAGAAATGTTTTCCTGTAGGTTGTATGTGATCAACAGCAGACTCTATGGAAGACCAAAATTGGATCCAGCCAAGCCTCATAGAAGCATTACAAAACAGTTGCTAGAAGATATTTTTAATGACGAAGAAAGACGCTAAATATCAAATGTAGATAGAGATTTTGAGAGATGCGAATTGTTTGTATTACTTTTCAAATTTGTTTCGTTGATAATTCCTGTAAATATTCTTATTGCAACCGATTCCGATCCGAGTTCGAATAGTTAGGAACGTTTTTTGTGTTTTTCAGTTTACGTAGATTAAGTTCTTCTCGAATTAATGCATTAAGAATAAGCGTTAATTCATTCAAAGAGATTATATATTATATTTAGTTTTAATTATGTTTATAAGTGGCGAAATAATCTAGTTTTTATAAACACTAGACTTACTTGGACACTAGATATACCTACTCACTTACTTATTTTGTTAAGTAAATTGTCCAGTTGCTTCACTTAATTTTATAAGTTACGCGTATTTTTTTTATAATTATTATACAAATGTTTTCAACTTTGATTTATCAATTTTTCGATTTTGTTCTTTTAGATTAGTTTCCATTTAGTGCGATACATATAATTTCAATGAAATATTGTTTATATCTACCATTTGGAAGTGAGCTTCTGCATGCCATCTTATTATAAGAATAGTTAGCTGTTAGTGAACATCACAATACGCAAATGGAAGATTTTTCCTGCATTTAAGAAACGTAATTAATAAGGCCACAAATCCGGCGTGGGTTGTAAAAGTAACTATTTTCAACATTATTACAAACAGGGGTAGTTTGTAGTTTGTGGATTGTAGAAGTTGCTTTTTAGTGTTGATATATCAAAGATTTGTTATAAGTGTGTTTTATTGTTTTATTGTGTCGTTTTACAGGCATTTACGGTTAGACCTGCTTCTATTACTATTACAAGGGCGAAAGGGTTTGAAAAATCCGTGCAAAAATGAAAACAACTTAATTTTTTAGGATAAATCGTTTTTATTTTTCAGCATAATTTTAATTAATATTTTGTTATTGAGCATTTAATAGCTTTTTCATGCCCAAATGTTGGTGCAAAATATTATGTACCCGTTAATTCGAGATGCCTACAGCACTGGCAATTTCCAACACCTTCTAACTCTTCTGTTCTACACTCTTCTAACGTCTGTTAGCTTAATTGCTATCAATCCGTCACCATATCATGGATTGTATCAATGATTTCTGGAGCAGTAGTGGAAAAAGGTCGTCCAGAACGTTCAGCGTAACTTCAGAAATAGGCAAGTGCAGATTTCCTAATGCACCAACCTCAGGCACCCCTAGGACCGGTTTCGAGTCTATTAGCTCTCATCAGCTGGGTTCAGTCTAAAATTAGCGATTCCGAAACCTGCACTTTACAATCCAAATGTATTCACATCGGCGTAAAACTTCACTTATAAACTGTTCTAATTGAAGGTTCAGAATCACCGTAATGTTTATCGAACAGCTCTTTAGTCTCTTAAAGCGATATGCCTTTCATAAAGAAATGTTTAATCAGCACGCGAATTTCTTTCTAGTCCAGTTTTTAAAAATCTTTCGATTCATCCTTTCAAACGAACGTTAAACAGAAAGAAATAAACCGACCTGGCTGAAACTTGGTGTGCGTTCTTCCAAGAGATGCTACTAACTGAAATTAACTTTGGTTATTTTCCACTGGTGCCCTCTCTCTGACTTTGCACGGACTCTTCAAACCACCCTCATATTTAAAACCATTTAATTCCTGCCCAGCAAACACAAATGGTCCGTGAAACGTTCTATTTTGATCCCCGTTGTCCCGCATGGGATCATCCTTGGTAGGATGTCCCTACGACGTCTCTCGTATTGCACAAACATATCATGCAGATCCCATGCGAGTCGTCCCAGAAACGTTATATTTTTTGCTCCCATGGAAGTAATGAACAGGACGTATATGTAGTAATAGTGAATAGCACGCTCGAAAAAAAGTTATAAGTATGTACGGTAAGTAGATAATTTATATTTTTATCACTTTTATGTATGATCTTCGTTAATATGTATAGAGTATGCTATACTTTCCATGCTTTCGAACGTAAAGCCATGCCTAAAGCGCCTAAAAATTGAGCAAAATCTTTATATCACCGTTAAATAAATGAAAGAACAAGTACATTATTAAATAATTTACAATGTTCTAATGAGGCCCAGCATTCTAATGAGGGCCTTAAGAATCTAATTTTGCCTGACCCTCGATGTGATCCGAATAGACTTAGTCAACAAGTTCTAACCTTGGTGGCGAGGCCTGAAGTAGAAGTTGCTGAAGAACCTTTAGTTGGATTTTTAAATGATAAAATATATCTCTTTTTCATTACAGATGGTTTGCTAAAAAATCCACCATTTATATCAACAAGAAAAGACATTGAAATTGAAGCTCAAAATTGGCTCAGGTGCGCGCCGGAAAGACTGTAAAGGAAAAAACTAACTTTACCGGTTTCAGACAGAAGAGCATAGCAAAAATAAGTTTAGTTTGATACCATACATAAACGTTTTTTGTTTTTTTTTTTAAATATAGGTAGATTTATGTTATTGGTTCAGTATCTTGTTTCTTTCAAATTGCTTCCACCCAAAATTTTCCAAATTATAAAGCTGCCTTCAAAGTTTTTTCGTAGTTTATACTTACTATACTACAGATATACTCTAAACAACCCGTCCCAGTAATGTTCTAAATGACTTTTACAGGATCATCCCATACATGTCCGAACAGTCCCAAAAATATGTCTCATGGACGTCCTGCGTAAATATGGGGACGTACCGGGACGTCCGAGGGACTTAGGCCTATATCCTGTAGTGACTTCCGTGGGACGTCTTAGAGACCGAGGTGTGTTTGCTGAGTGCAAATATATAATTCAAGGTGTATTAATATTAATATTAAGAAACAACATTATATTTTATTTGGTCGATTTTGGACATCCGCGATCATTTAGTTTCTGACAAAGTTCACACATTTTAAATGTTGACTTGATTGTTTAGGCTACATATTTAATTTGTTGCTTGATTTCAACATTTCAAATGTTAAGACTTGACAAAGAAAATTAAATTTGTTTAATATCAGTATTTATGACGTTTTAAATTTTTTTTCCAGAATACTTTTATTTTTGGTCAATCCTGACCGAACACAAATCCGTAAAATAGCCGCAGGTGCACTTAATGACAACGGAGAATGAAAACCAATTAATTTTGAGAGAACGAGATCTAAAGAACAGATGGATCGGATATATACAGGCTGAATGAAAATTGGCGTCATTCCTTTTAAGGATATATAGGGGCCCACTTAGAGAGTAACATTTAACAGGCGGTTTTGGATGACAGTTGTGACCTATTTATTTATATCACTCATTTGCCTCCGAAAGATGGCAGCACTCGGGGGCTGTTTTGTCGCAGCACTGACCGCAAGGTGACACCGTTATTCTAACCTCAACGGATGTTATTGTCTCTTTTATTTTATTTGCTTCATGTTTATCCATGGTTACCGGAGTTTTTAATAAGTACGAAGTAACAGGTATTTACGTAATGTTAATTAGGCAGATTGCCTTGAAAAACATTGTTGCCATCCTTCTGATCTATTTTTTTGCAAATATCTGAGTTTTCAATAACATTTAATTTATTTTACTATTTTTTCTGTACTCCCAAGACACCCCCAGAGCAATGACGCCAATTCTGAATCACCCTGTAAATACTATTTTCCAGTTTCGTCAAAATTGATGAAGTCTTCACATTTCAATGAGTGTTTAACACGAACTAAATGATGTGAATGAATGACTCAAATTTTCACAGCAGTCTACTAACAGACGACAGTTGACAGGGGTGGTGTTGAACTTAAAGTTACTGCACGGGAAATTCAAAACATCACTGACTAATCAAACGACTCTTGTAAGAAGAATAATATAGAAACACACTAGGAATAATAACATAATGAGCCGATCTTGAATATTCCAGATCATAAGCGCTCATTTCAGGAATCCAGTTTGCATTTAATTACCGCAGTTTTCCACACATAATTGTATTATTTTATGGGCATTTCAATATGTTTCGGTTATTTGTGAGGTTGGTGCAAGTGTACGCCTCTGGAGTCCCTGAAACGCATCTCATCAACAACTCGTAAAATAAACTGCAATCCACAACAAAAAGAGCGTAGCGAATTACGAAAATTGAGAAAGTTGGAAAATACACGGAAAGTGCATCTCCAAGTGCGATTTTCCGAATGATCGCGCCCACAATTTTCCTATGCCGGTTGCGTTTCCATTAATTTGGTTTGGGATGATACTTATGCGCCTAATTTCCCTCGAGTAGCCGAGTTTGATACAACCGGAATTCCGAGTTTTGCATTAGAGATTAGTTTATTATTGTTAGGTTGCCATTCTGATGAAATTTCCACCGAAGAAGATTTTACGTCACCTGTGGATTGCACTCGGCTTTATCGGCATATTGAGAAGCTTACCGGGAATGTAATCATTGAAAGTGGATTTGTTATGCGGTTCCATGTCGCTTATATCAATTATTGGGTGAGTCAGTGAAGCCACATCCTTCCTTAGATCGTAAACAACAAAGAAGTCCGAAAAGAAAAGTCCCTTTCCTTTCTTTTTACTTAAAAAAAATGTTTTTAATATTTTGCTTCTTAAATCAGAATTGTGGTCCACTTTGAATAAAAACTCATTTTCAAACAAATTCCTATTTTTATTTTTGATGCAGCGTTTATGCGGATATTTTATAGAATGAGCATCTTTAGATCTTCAGCTGAAATTAAGATTAATGGCGACTGATATTGAACCAACTTGGGAACTTTCCAACAACGTTGCAATTACGTCAGCTCTTGATCATGACTGAGAATAAACTCCGTTATCGTCCCTTTCGATTTATACGAGCTTTTCCAGTTAGCCTGAATTGCGACAAAAATAGAAAATTTATGACTAATGTTTAAAATCCCCATATAAAAACTGACAATAAATCAACAAATTGCAACAGCAGTAAGTGTACATTTTATTATTTTATTATTGTCAGACGTTGTTGTGTCTAAAACTATGGAATTACATTTAAATATAAAGAAACTGCACTTATCTTGAGCCAGTCTGGATGATTAGATATCCGAATGCAATACTTTACAAACTACAACAGAATAATATGAACGTTTCGTTCCAGACCCCATACCTGCATACGCTCTAAGGGAAATCACCTTTTTCAATACACAAACTAATCCATATTGCCTTTACTTTTATCAAATTAGACTTATCTAGGCTTTAACTACAGATTTAACGATATGAAGAATTTGCCAATTCGGTTCAAAGCAAATTTTCCTGATGTTTTCAACACAATCGTTTCTAGAGTTAAAGCTGCACAGTTTCAACACCAACATTTCTAAATGTTCTTGTGATCTTGTTTTAGTTTCAAGTACTAGGGATGGTCGGTATTTGTAACGTGTAACCTGAAACCGTAGTTACAGCTAGCCGATTTAACCGTTTTTTTTAGAACCGTCTCATAAAACAGAAACAGTTATGCGCACCAGCTACAGCCGTTTGCCGACTAAAAGGTTTTTTTTGGAACAGTAGCATAAACTTGAAAAACTGGTTCGCGTCCGTCACAGAACCAATGCGGCATCGTCGAGCGCTCTCAACTTTTATCATCACTATTTCTACTATCATCATCATTCTGCATTTTTAATAAAAAATTTAAAAAGTAACACGTTCCTTTTGTAACCGCATTTTGAAACCTATTACCAAGGTAAAACTGAAACGTTGTAATCCGTTACAGAAAAATAACCGTTTAGCACACCTCAATCAAGTCACAGAGCCGGTGGTTTGGAGTCTATCTCACCACCTGGGTTT